ACACACACACACACACACACACACACACATAGACAACCTCTCCTTAATATGCGTTTTCTGCATTGCATAGCTGCAAAAAACACATAAAAACGTACAATATTCATGTTGGTTGGTGAAGGGAGAATACCATAGAAGACCATTTCGGCTTCCAGCACTGCTTCATCCAGATTTGACCACCACTTGGTGAGACACAGCTCCATTGTGCGGGCACTTTGCAACTTGATTGCAAATTGCTCTTCGCCGCTTGAATCCAGCGTTACAGTCTGCAAAATACCTCGCTTTCTCATTAAGCCATCACCGTATGTATCGTCAGTCTCAAATTTAAGTTTTCAGCCAAAGCCGAGGTCCACGAAGTCGTTTTCTGCCAAAGAAATTTGCATTTTTTTCTCGGAGGTCCGTACTCAGGGTCTAGGCATATGGGGAGGCGGGGGGGAGGGGGAGGGAGAAAGGGGCGACACATCTTAAAACGGGAGGGTGACACGCGAACATATACTCGAAATTTCAGCTTCCCAGCTTTCCTGGTTGCCAAGATGAAAGTGGGTGACAAAATGCATTCGCTTCCACACACACACATTCACACACACACACACGCACGCACACACACACACACACATACATACACACACATCCTCTCCACAATAAGCATTTTGCTGGCTGTAACAGCGCTATAGCACTGCACAACAAAAACGCATAAAAGCGTAACGCAGGCCACTCATGCTGTTTAACTACTTGACTACTACAAGTTTAGCGTAAAAAGGCATGATCGTCCTGCCAAGTCTTTTATGTCCGCAGTCTGAATTTTAAAGCAAATTCCTCAAAAAAGGAAAACAGCGAAGGCAGCAGCTGCATATGAAAAATTAAGCAACTAATGCTAGGAGCGGTGTGGGGGATCAGTCTCAGTGACCTTATTGGGATAGACTTTCGCGCAGTGCATAGCTACGTCAGATCTCTCGGTCTTAAATTGCGTGCATCCATTCCTGCTTATTGCCTTTGCTATGCATAGAAATCACGTTTCCGGGCGCCGCCCCAGTTTCTGCCCGTGACATGCGAAATGAGCGGTACCCTTGCCCATCAAATTTTATCAGTATTCCGTGCACTACTTGCTCATCTTACCGGGCGCCTAGTTGTTTGTACAGTTACAAAGAAATATTTTAATACTTCTCATTTTTTTCATATTTCCTTTCTTACTTTTTTCATCATCCTTTCTTATATTTTTTAATCATCATTCTTACATTTTTCTTTTAACCTTAAATACGTCTAGTTGTTTGTACTGAACGATTTTAAACGAAGCACAACTTCGTTCTCGGAAGAAAGAGGCCTTAGGATTTGCTTGATCCGCTTCCGCTATCGTATTACGATGAAGAGCTTGAACCAATTTTTGTAAGAGCAACACTTTATCTCTGACATTGTTTGTACACTGTTAAATACACTAAGAAATTTCTTGGCATGCACTCTAGAAGCATTACTGTTTTGCGTGATTGATGTTGAAATTTCTCGTTAGTTTATGCTGACCTTTTCTCTGAATAGTAGTACAGTGATAAAAGTTTTTGCAGCAAACGATGACATCGACTCGGACGGCGCATCCCGCATTCTACCAGTAACAGAAACATCCTAAAAGCGCTTTAGCAGGTCAAAAAGAGCATGGCTTACAAATTTAAAGTGCTTCCATAAAGTCTACCGGCAGAGTATACCTTGTCTGATATATGTGCTGGCGGCAAAATGTAACTTGTCTAAACACCTCAGAACAGTGCAAACGCATTAAATATTTTATGCTCAACCAAATATAGCGTACTGAGGCATATACACATCGAACAAGCAGCGCTGCTTAATTGGAGGTATGCAACTCAGGACTGGAGCGCATAGCTGCACTTGGCTTGTGGGAGCTTTATCAACAGCAGTAGAACAGGATCACCAAACTGATTGTCCGGGCCGTAGTGGCATTTCCTAGGTGCATCCAAACACATCATTAGTCTGCTGGTGTAGAAATTAACCTAATCCGAAAGCACATGATTTTCTTGAGCAAGCCGCTTTGAGAAATTTGATACCACAGCATGCTTCTTCTTCGTCAGTCGTTTTTTTTTACAGTACCGAGCAGTTATTTTTTTCACAAGATAGCTGCAGTTCTTTCGAATTAGTTTTCGCTTTCTGCCGCACCGCCGCGATTCAACGGAAAAATTCAGTGGATCTTTCGCCAGCGAAAAAAACCGTGATTCAGAGTCTTTCTGGTGGAAATTACTGATTTCTTCAAGAAATGAACGTATGTCGTAGTTTCCAGCAAACTACCGCTGAGCAGTATAGTACTGGTCAGAGCAATAGATAAGGCTGCCATCCGTTTAGTGGGGAAACTATGCTGTAAAATGCAGCTGACTAAACATCAAAAGCGGAAACTATAGCACGCAGGTCACATTTGACTTCGCTTTCTTTAAGTAATTTGGAAATTAAAGGGATGTGAACTGTAAATGTCAGTGATCAGGAAATTGAAGGAGGAAAGAGGGGGCTTTAAATCATCTGCGTATTAAAAAATGCAGTTGGCCTAGCAGAGCACTACCACAGAAGAGAGAAATCAACAGCTGAATTTCTATAAATTAAAAAAAATATCGATCGGTGACATTTACCTTTAAGTTTGTACATTTACGTCTAAGTCTGTGTTTTATTAATCTGTCCATGTTTCATCCCTAAGCTGTAAACACAGACTGCAACGATCGGTGTGAAATGTTATAGGAATCATCAGTACAGTGTTTCATTTCGCTAAATGCTAAGAAACATGTGGATTGTCCAAGGAAGATGACAAAATGACTCATGGAAAATTTGAGATATTTTTAAAATGCATAATAAATCTGTTCGCTCCCAGCATCCGAGCGCACTTCGCGACAAGTACAAGCGCTTTTCTGCACATGCAGGCAATCGAGAGAGAAGTTTATCAGTTGTCAGCTTAGTCATTCACTGAAACATATGTAATATGCAAACAAATGTCGAATTTTTTTTAAGTTATCACAATGCAAATAAAAAAGTACTTTTCATCGCGAACTTTATCATGCTTAAGCGGACTCATGTTTGTGCACATATAAGCAAACAAAACTCCTAGTTTCCCTTGCAAAACAGTCAGATATGTTCGTCGCAGTACTGTCTTTTGTTTTTAGCACTGTTTTTATTTTTTGTAACTGCGACATTTATCGGCCGACACCTGAAGCAGCTGAAGGTAGTTTTTTCTTTTCCGAGAGTTTTTACCAAGAAAATGCAGAAGAAAAAATTTTCACAAACATACACATACAAAACACATAAGTCACTGATCAAGAACACACATACATTTGCTACCATTGAGTTTTTGCACCAATTTAATTAACTGTGTAAAGCGCATAACAGACAGGTGGATTAAACGACTAGTCAGCTACCTCTTTGTTCCTTCCCAGCAACAACCCTTCGCATTTTTCACCAATTAAAAAAGATTTATCGAGTGTGTGAAAGCTTTCACGTAACATCACTCATATCTAAATTCCGGAAGGCACCAGCATCTACGATATTAGATACTCCTGTATCCTACATTTACCTCATCTGTGAAAGCAAATTTACAAAAAATTATTTGCTTGATTTAAAACTTCGAGAGAAGTGATATTTCATTAAATGTTTCAGAATGCGACGATGTGTTTATTGCACACTGCTCATCATTTCCTCCTCCGAACTGCACCGATCAATTCATTCGAACACACGTCTGCCCCAAAACATGCGGTTTCTGCGGTACTACCATAGCGCTGACTACGTCATACGACAGAAGGACTAGGCCATACAACAGAACGACTATGCCATATGACACAACGACTACACCAAACGACAGGACTAAGCCATACGACAGAACGACCACGCCAAACGACAGAACGACTATGTTATACGACAGAACGACCACGTCATACGACCGAAGGACTAGGCCGCACAACAGAACGACCACGCCGTACGACACAACGACCACGCAACATGACACAACGACTACGACATATGACCGAAGCACTAGGCCGCACGACAGAACGACCACACAATATGACACAACGACTACGCCAAACGACAGAACAGCCTCGCCATATGGCCAAAGAACTAGGCCGCACGACAGAACGACCACGCCGCATGATACAACAATTACGACATATGACCGAAGGACTAGGCCGCACGACAGAACGACTGCACCATATTACACAACCACCACGACACATGACCGAAGGACTAGGCCGCACAACAGAACGACCACGCCGTACGACACAATGGCCACGCCACATGACACAACGACTACAACTTATGATCGAAGGACAAGGCCACACGACAGAACAACCACGCCATATGACACAACCACCACGACACATGACCGAAGGGCTAGGCCGCACGACAGAACGACCACGCAACATGACACAACAATTACGACATATGACCGAAGAACTTGGCCGCACGACAGAACGACCATGCCATATGACACAACCACTACGACATATGACCGAAGGACTAGGCCGCACGACAGAACGACCATGCCATATGACAT